GAGAGAGAGAGAGAGAGTTGAGTGATACAAGATTGGTTGTGCAGTTTGACGAAGAAGGGAGTGGCAGCCATAGCCGCAGAGCTCGGACACGGGGTTGACGAAGGAAGGAGAAGTGGAGAAGGGAGGAGAGACCGGAGAGGAAGGAGGGGCAACGAAGTGGAAGACAGACATAGCCGTGGGTGAACAAAAAAAAAAAAAAAAAAGGAGAGAAGAAAAGGAGAAAGAAAAAAGGTGGAGGGGGAAAGAGAAGTGAAGGGTGGCGAGGAAGGAGGTGCCAGCAGCCATAGCCGACTTGGAGGTTGACCGGGCGTTGACCAAGGGTTGACCGGATGTTGACCGGAGGGTTGACCGGAGCTGTTGACCACGATTTTGACCAAGCTGGAGTTGGTAAAATCTCGCCAAGCCCTTAGCCTATCCCCTTGCCCTATGGATGTGCACTCACCCTATCGTACTTGCCGAGTCTGAGTCTGTTTGTCTCTTCTTTCTGCATTGAGTCTCTTCTGTCCAGGTGATAGGACTCCGTGTATGGAGTATAGGGCCTCGTTGACCAAACCCACACGGGCTGAGTAGGGCTAAAGACTGTGTCTGACGACTCGACTGTCCCGGAGGACACAAACCCTCCCAACGACCGGTACTGACCGGCTGGCTGCTCGATGTGGCACGGTAGGCCCAAAATCCGAGCTGTGAGCTGCACAACGGCCCGTCTAAGTCTTGAGAGGATCTGTTGACCGCGTCGTCCTGTTTGCGACGTTAAAGAATTCCTGAGGAGTTACGGGGGATCTCCTTAAATGCCTCCTGGTCAGCAACTGATCCTGTAGTGACGGCTGTAGTTTTAGAGTCTAGGCTAAAGACCATAGTTGACAGGGTTCCATACAAATCCTATGGTATTTGAGTCAGTTAGGGGGAGAGTCTAAGTGGTGAGGAGCGGAACCGTCACTTGGTTGTGCACCTTTCACCATGGTTGACACGCGTAGTGGCCGGAGCACCTCCCCTTACACAACAAAACAGGAGGCGAAAGTCACCGCCATCTCGAAAGAGCGAATAGAAAAGAAAGAGGCCAAGAAGAAGGCCCTGATGGAGGAACAGGCGGCGGAATTGAGAAAGATTGAGGAAGAGATGGCTAGAGAGATAAAGAGGTTGAGGAAAGAGTAGGAAGAGAAGTTGAAAGCGGTAGAAGAGGAGGAAGAGATAGAAGAACAACCGCTGGAAAGGAGAAGAAGGGGGCAAGGAGGTGAATCCAGTGGTACAAAGGAGGATCAGATGGAGAAGAAAATTACGGAGTGGGTTGCTAGTTTATCCCTGGGGGAAGAAGAGGAGGCATTGATGTATGTGCCCAGGGAAGAACAAGAGGCCGCCGTGAAAGAGTGGGATGCAGAAGAAGACCCACTCAAGCGGCAAGCGATAGAGGATGAGAAGAGGATGGAGTGGAAGTTCCGATTGACGAGGGAGAGGAAAAGAAGAATGGAGGCGACGAGCCAGGTGGTGAAAGAATTAGCGGAGGTAAAGAAGCAAAGAGAGCAGATGGCGACGCAGGTGGACCTATTGGGGAAGATGGAGATAATGGCGAGAAACATAG